ATAGACCCGCGAGTCAGCGGACGCTTACGCCTTCTTATACCGGTAGCGCTGCCAAAAGGGATGAGGAGACTGCTACGAAGCAAGAGCTCGTTCAGGATGAAGACCCGAACGCTGTTGGCTGGGATGGACCAGATGATCCTAAAAATCCCATGAACTGGCCTGCAAAGAAGAAATGGTCTTGCATTGGCGCTCTATCCGTCATGACCCTCCTAACGTAAGTCCTTCTCACTCACTCTCCCCCATATCATCGCTAACATCTCAGACCTCTCGTACGTCCCTAACCTCAACCTCAAATACACTCCCCTCTAACAATCCAGGGCTCCTCAATGTTCGCCCCCGGCGTCCCAGACATCATGCGTGAATTCGAAACCTCCAACCGCAACGTCGCAACATTCGTCGTGTCCGTCTACATCCTCGGCTTCGCATTCGGTCCTCTCCTCGCCGCGCCCCTAAGTGAGATCTACGGCCGCGCCATCGTCTTCAACGTCGCCAACGTCCTCTTCCTCCTAATGACCGTCGCTACGGCGCTGAGCCAAAACATGCCGATGCTTATTGTCTTTCGCTTCTTGATGGGCTTCACGGGCTCGACGCCTGTTACTAATGGATCGGGGACTATATCGGATATCTTTCCAGTGCAGGAGAGAGGTAAGGCTATGGCTGTCTGGGCCATGGGACCGTTGTTGGGACCGTGTATTGGCCCGTTGGCGGGTGGGTATATGGTTCAGGCCATTGGATGGAGATGGGTATTCTGGCTGATTGCTATTCTTGTAAGTCCCTTTGCATTTGAGTGTACTCTATCGTGGCTAACCATATAGACCGGCTTCATTGCTGCGCTATGTTACTTCGCCGCCCCAGAGACCTACGCCCCAACGCTCCTCCGCGCCAAAGCCGCCAAGCTCAAGAAAGAAACCGGCAACCAAGACTTGTATTCCATCCTCGACAAAGACGGCCTCACACCCAAGCAACGCCTCAGCAACGCCTCCGTCCGCCCAATGCGAATGCTCTTCACCCATCTCCCCGTCTTCATCCTCTCCTTCTACGTCGCCATCGTCTACGGCGTGCTGTACCTCATGTTCAGCACCTTCACCTTTGTATTCGCGAAGCAATACGGCTTTGGCACTGGTACCATCGGTCTGGCGTATCTCCCTACCGGTATTGGAATGCTGTCTGGCACAATTACGTTTGGGGTCTTGACGGACGTTGTTATTAAGAAGAAGATTGAGCAGAACGGTAAGACGGTGCCGGAGGATCGGTTGCCGATTTGGATGACGTTGCCGTCGGGACTGCTCATTGTGGGGGCGTTGTTTTGGTATGGTTGGGCGGCGGATCAGAATGTGCATTGGATTGTGCCCATGATCGGCGTTGCGCTGTTTTGCTTTGGTCTCATGGGGATTATGGTGAGTCCTTTTCGTCTTTCGCTTTCACTAGGCATCACTGACGATATAGATGTGTCTTCAAACTTACCTCGTCGATGCATACATCACCTACGCAGCATCAGCCGTCGCCGCAATGACAGTCCTCCGGTCTCTGGCTGGTGGATTGCTTCCTCTCGCTGGACTCTTCATGTACGATGATCTTGGTCTCGGCTGGGGGAACAGTATCCTTGCGTTCTTGGCACTAGCTCTTGTACCTGTTCCCGTCATATTCTTCCTGTATGGGTCCAAGATTCGAGCCAAGAGCCCCAACAACCTTGGTTAAACGCGACAGAGTTTGAAGATGGTCAATTGGGTAGGATGAGATGGGGAGACATATAAAGAAGCAGTTGTCTATTGAACAACTGGTATAGAGTATAGAATTTGTAATTCAGAGGTGATAATATCCTCGTTCATAGAATGCCATTCGCTTAAATTGTCCAACAACGTCTAGCGACGTGGATCTCATATTGCATGGGGTACGAAAATTCATCGTGACAGACGTCGGATGAGATCCCAAAGCGGTAATTCGTCTGCAGACCAGAACTCGGCGTCTTTGCTCCCTAAGTGGGTGGACCTGACGCGGATCATTCCGTGTGTACCATCGCGTCGGGAATAACTTCAACGCACTGCATGAACCATTGCTCTCAAGTCTTACAGAACTTATTCGCACAGACATGTCTCCAACGGTCGGTTCCGAATCTTCGGACCTCAACGGCCTCGCAAGTCACCTTACTGCTCATTCTCGCATAGTCACCGTTTACGATTCAGTGGATTTACATGGCCCCCCCACGTTACTGATCAGATTGATAACAACAAGGTTATCTCACGAGTCACATTTCGATCATACGGTCAATGCCACTTTAGCTCGTGGCAACACCCAAGCCATCCAACACTCAATCTCATCAATGATCAGATGCGAAAACTCTGAGCAGGGATGAAAAAAACGTGTCATTGGAGATCGCCTGTTCTCGGAACATCGCCAAGACCATGTCCACCAGCGAAACTCATCTTCATGTGATCCACGCTTTACCTAAAAGTGTCCATCACTATTCCCAGAAGAAAAGGCGGCTCTACCCAATCCCTGTAAACATGAGGCTTTTTTTTATCAGATCACGGCTAAGTCATGCCACGCGAAGTCTTGGCAGACCAATTATATCACGCGATGCGTTAAAATCTGATAAGATTAGATGGATCACCGGATTGTGGGCGCGGAATGACTTCCGTTACTCAGAGGATATAAACAGACAACGTTGCATTGAACTTGGAATGAAGTAATCAATGTTGTTTAAGCTTATTTACAATGGCAGATCATACTTCTCATCGTAGTTCCGACGTGGAAGCTGCGCCGAAAGAAGAGCGTGAGAAAGTCTCGAATACGGATATTCTGAGGCAGTCTTGGTCTAAGAAGGCCCTGATCGTCGCCTTCACTGGGTATGTCTCTATCCCCCTTTCGCAATTACCTGGCTCTGCTGACAATTGACGGAACAGCCTCTTTGCAACCACGTTTATCACCCAGTTCCTCAAATACGCGACAAAAGTCTACGATGCATACGCTACCTCTGCCTTCCAGCGCCATTCAGCGCTTGCGACAGCCAATGTCGTCAGCACAATCATCGGCCTCGTCACATATCCCATCATGGCAAAGTTCTCCAATGTACGTATATCTCTCCATCCCAATACACAAGACTAACTGTCCCAGGTCTTTGGTAGAGCAGAGGGTCTAACCTTTTCAATCCTCTTCCTCGTTCTGTCGCAGGTCATGTACGCAGCGTGTCAAAACATCGCAACCTACATCGTAAGCTCCCCATCCCCATCCCCATCTCTTACCCGTCTAACATCTCTAGGCCGGTGGAATCTTTGAATCAATCGGCGACACCGGCTACGTCATCATGCAACAGGTCTTCATCGCCGACACAACAAGCCTCATCAACCGCGGTCTCTGGACCTCCCTCCCCGAATCCTTCGCCTCCATCCCAACACTATACCTCGGCTCCATCGTAGCAGACAGTGTTCTCAAGCACTCAACCTGGCGTTGGGGCTACGGAATGTGGGCTCTCATTCTGCCCTTCTGCGCCGCGCCGCTTATTATTACTCTATACATTCTTCAGCGACGCGCGAGAAAGGCTGGATATAGAAGAAAGGGCGCTTGGGATGCAGCTGATAAGACGCAGCCTTTAAGCAAGAGGATTGTGAATCTTATCTGGGTTGATCTCGACATCCTCGGTGCTGTGCTTCTTGTTCTCGGTCTTGGACTCACGCTTATTCCACTTTCGCTTACGGGAGCGAGGAATAGTGATCGTTGGGACCAGGGCAGCTACATCGCCATGCTCGTCATTGGCGTTGTCGTCGTCGGCGTGTTTTTCATCTGGGATACAAAATTCGCCAAGGTCCCATTCGTTCCTTTCCGGATGATCAAGGAGCGAACTGTCGTTGCGGCTTGTGTTTTATCCATGCTGGACTTTTTCCATTATTCCTGCTTTACACTCTTCTTTCCCAGTTATCTTCAGGTCGCTGGGGGGTTCAGTCCTGGACACGCTACGCGCATTGAGTAAGTCTCCTTCGAAACACGCCTGAGATAATGCTGATTTTAGTAGCAACGCCCTTCGTGTCGCGTTCCAGATCGCTTCGGTGCTCGTTGGTGTCTTGATGAAGTATACTAAGCACAGTCAGATCTTTGTCTTCATCGGTGTTCCGCTTTGTGTTCTGGGTCAAGGTCTCATGATTCACTTTGTCAACATGAACGGAGGACACGCCAACGAAGCATCTTTTATCACAGCGAAGACTCTCGTCGGCGTTGGTCGTGCATTCTACCAAACCGCCGCTCAAGTCTCTATTCAGGCTCTCGTCGCCAAGGAAGACGTCCCCGTCGTGACGGGCGTTTACTACGCAGCCATGAACTTTGGCGGAGCTGTCGGTACCAGGTTAGTCTATCCCCTCCTCTCAGTCATTCATCACTAACAATTACAGCGTGGGCGGTGCTATCTGGAACAACATCCTCCCTCAGAAACTCACAAAGTATCTCCCCGAGCAAGCAAAGCCCAACGCCTTCAAGATCTACAAGTCCATCGTCGTCGCTCAGAAATTCGCAAAGGGGACACCAGTTCGCGCAGCTATCGACCAGGCATATCGAGAGACGCAGCGTCTTCTCGCTATTGCTGCGACGTGCTCTCTTGCGCCGATGCTGATTGTTATGTTTGCGCTTAAGGCCGTTGATTTGACAAAGGTTGACGAAGCGAAGATTGAGGAGAACAAGTCTACTGATGGGGAGATTGAGCCGGCTGTTATGAGGGAGAATGTGCAGGTAAAGAATTAGGTTTAATCGAGGAGCTGTAGGATAATTGAAGGTTGTTAGTGCATTGAATCATGATGTTGATTGACTGGATTGCGTGGAGCCGCTGCTTAGTGGATGCGACGCTGGCCTCAGTCGCCAGTACAGTGAAAATAGTGCAGCGAGATTTATTATGATCGCTTTCATATACTCGGCTAACATCTCGCAATTGAAGCATCAATTCAAGTAATTAATCTGTGATTCGGCCTTGACAAGTGCTCGCCAATTGACTACCTACAACTGATACCCAAGTATAACTACAGTAGTGCAGCCACCGCGACGAGCGACAAACCCAGTCCAACCATATTATACCCAAGCTTGACACCAGCCGAATCGTCCCCTCCACTTCCATTTCCACTACCCGTACTCTCCTCCTTCTCCCAATCACTCTCATTCCACTTCGCAAAGCTCAACTCCGGATCCAATCTCGGCCTAAGATCAAAATCCCCCGCCGTAGCCTCCCTATCACTCGTCGTCCCATTCCAGCAATGCCTCTCAAAGCACTCCTCACATTGCTTCGGCATCTCAATATCCAATCTTCTCAACGAACCCTTAATAGCTGCACAAGCTAAACAAGCAGGCCAATTCTCATCAACGCTGCCATTGCCGTACGTGGCTACCTGGAATGCGTTCTCAAGCGCAATGTCGACTTGGTTGGGTGTGAATTGGGTCTGTGTGTAGGAGTAGTTGGTGTATCCTGTCCATGGAGCATTGGGCAACCATAGGAGGAGGGGCGTGGAGGATGAGGCGTTGCAGCCGAAGAATGTTGGTTGGAAAGAGAGGTTTTGGGCGACGATGGTGTTTACGTCGGGGATTTTGGGGAAGGGGATGTTGCCTTGGGATGCACTAAGGGCGGTATCTAAAATGTTAGTGAAGATCTTATAGGCATAATATGGGACTTACTGATGAGGTTGCTTCCGTTGACCCAAGAGTTGGGCGCATCAGATGATGCTTCGTAAACAATGATCAAGTCAAGCTTGCGTTCAGGAATGATCAGCGGACGAAGAGGATTACTCTCAAGCGTAAGACTCCCGTCGACCTAAACAATCAGCATCGTCCCTAACCGCCGTAGGATAACTTACCAAAAGCAGCTCCGAAACCCCCTTCATATCGTCATTATAATCCTGAAACGGATTCGGATACGTCGCCCACAACGACTCATTAAACGTCAAGTCAAAATACATCGCCGTCTCATTCACAAGCTGAACAAGAGGATTATCATACTGATCCTTCGGCACAGGAACGTCGTTGATATCCGGGTTGACCTTCTGTCTCTTGCCCAACCATCTCTTCGCAAATACCGGAATTCCATAAAACGAATCAATAAACCACGCAGTAAACGCATTAGCAGTCGTACCCTGCATCAGCGTAAGTTTATCAAAGCCCTGCACGCATTCACTCTTGTTCTGCGGTTTTCCCTCCGTCATAGAAGTTCCCAGGAACTTGGTCTGGATAAACGCCTGCACGCGTCCCCCGACCCAGCTTCCAAACTCAAAGGGCGTGACCTCATAAGCTGTCAAGTTGAAGCGCGTGGATTTGTTGAAGCCGGGATACATGAGTTTTCCGATCTCGGGGGACTTTCCGGGGATGACTTCTGCGAAGCACATGATTGGCATTGGTGCGTTGCCCAGAGCGAAGGCAGTGTTTTTGGAGGCGATGTCGGAGTAGTTGCTGTATACTTTATCCTCGGGCAGCCAAGTTCCCCAAAATTGACCGAATGTGTCTGCGACGGAGACGGGGAAGCCCGATTCGTCTTTGGCGCCCATGTTTTCGAAGATGTTGGTGAAGAAGGCTGTTTGGTTGCCGTCTGGACCGGATGAATAGTCGAGGGAGAAGTTAGAGGCCTTTTTGACGCCGTCTGTTGTGGTGAAATTGTTTGCCGCGCTGAAATGTTAGTGGTGATTGGGATGATGGTGGAATGGACTTACAGAAGAGATACGGTGACAGCGCCTCCGCCGGATAGTCCAGTGATGTATGAGAAAAGCTGCGTCAAGCCGCCTGTCCTCGCCGCCCTTGCGATAGCAGACCGAGCATCAAACGCTTGCCAGACACCCAATCCGCCTAGACCAGACTGCGTGCCTCCACCAGAGACAGAGAGGCCAACGATGGGAACATTATCGCTCTTGAGTTTGTTTATATAGTTTGAGACGTTGAAGTTGGAAATGTTGGCGAGTTTGAGGTAGTCCTCCAGATTTGGAATGATCTGCTTAGCACGCTGTTCACGCCAGGATGACTCTTCATCGGATAGGCCCTGGGAGAGTTAGAGATGGTAGAGAGGGGAGATAATGGGGATGGTTCACGTCTGATGCTTTGCGGATCTTGAGAGAGGAGGGACATTCCGTGTAGACTGGGGCGTACGGATCAGCGCCACTTTGCGCGAGGGCGACGCTGAAGAATGAAGTGAGGAGCAACAAATCGCGATACATCTTGCAAGTCGTTTCAACCTAAATACTAGTTAACTATCTGCAATAATGAGAGAAAAGGTATTCGGTGCACGGCCAAAACAGCAGCTCTTCCATCTAAATACCCCAGCATGGACATTCCCATGCCGATATCCGATCTCCCTCGCCCCAGGCTACATTAGCTCATGTCAGCGCAAACTTCCACCACCAAACTCAATGGCATATCCCAGCCAACCCCATCCCTAGAATCTACGACTGTTTAATTATCAGCCCTCTCGGGACCGAATGCGAGCGAGGCTTGGCGGAGGAATGTAAGCCGAAGTTATTCGGATTTCGTGGCTTGCAGTGCGAAAATGAGGAGTGAGTTTCGACTACTGCGCTCTAGTATTAACTTTTATCTATTCCTTCTATAGTAATTCATCTTCTCCCCCCCGCGTAGATCTAGATTTTCCCGCATCTAGATCCCGCAGCTGTTTTTCGTAACGATCATCATTCCCAACCTGTCTATCCGTAATTTTATCTAAGCCATGTCTTTGATCTATGCCTTCCAATTTTTGCTGAACCTCGCAATAAGCAGAACTAAGCCACCGGCGAGCATTGAGAAACAAGTGACTTTGACGAGTCAGTGGAGAGTAAGTAGACGTGGGGAGATGTACTTACTAACGGTGAAGGCCCAGCCTACGCCGATGCCGTCAATCATAGGGACGACGCCTCCAACGCTCATTGCGCCGAAACTATACTGGATAACGTATTTTCCGGTAATAACTGCTGTTCTATGTGCTGGTCGAACCTCTGAAGACTGTTAGTTGCGTTTTCTTGTCAAGGTGGAATGACCTACCAGCTGCATATGTATTCAGCCCACTAAACGAAGCCATGAGCCCGAAACCTTGGACAAACGCGCTGATAATCGGCAGCGCCATGCCACCCAGTCTATGATAAACACTCCACCCGTAGAGCAAAGTTCCAAGTGGGAGAATGATGAGAACACTGATTAGACTGCTGTTTAAGCGATCCTCAGGAATTCTCTGCCCGTTTCGCTTTCGCATGTATCGCTTGACGACTACGTCGGAGACTTTACCGCCGACGGTACTCCCAACGAGAAATCCGGCGCCGGGCGCGAGGTAGAAGAGACCACTGGAGAGGGGAGATGTGAGATTGAAGCGGGGGTTTATGACGCGGCGGATGGAGGAGAGAAGGCCGTATTGGTTGAAGCCGAGGAGACCGCAGGCGATGTTCTGAAACGTCAGTGTTGTACTTGTTCAACTGAGAAGTATACGTACAGCGAGGATGACCTTAGGATACTTAAATTGACAAAAGACGTGCATCGGGTTGAATGTCCGAAGAATCTCTTTGACTGTTCGCGGACGTGTCGTCTCAGCCAACTTGGGATTCTCAACTTCACTGGCTTTCGGGATGAACAAGAGGGAGAGAATGAGACCAAAGAGACACATGCCGGCCTCAACGCCGTAGATGACTCGCCAGCTAGTGAATGTAGCAATGATACTACCAAGAAGCGGTGCTGTAGATGTTAGTACCAGCTCATGTCCAGGAAGTCGGATAGCCTTACCGATTGAATTGAACGATACACAACTTCCGAGAAAGAACCCAACAGCTGTACCTCGAGACGTCTACAACCATCAGTACAAACCTTCACCCATCAATAAATACTCACAGGATCAAAGATATCCGCCAGAATAGTCTGCCCAGCAACCAAAAAGAACGGCCCCGTATTCCCTCCCAAAATCCACAACGTCGCAAACCCAGCTAAATTCGGCACAGTCGCGCACCCAATCGCACAAACACACAGCACCGCATTCGCAGCAAGATACGCAGACTTCCGTCCGATAATCGTACTAACAGGCAGCCAAATGAGCCCCGACAACGCCTGCGCTACAAAAACACCAGCGTTGATGGTTGTTATGGTCGTTACGGGGATTTTTAGGTCGGAGGCTACTTCGAGTGTGGCGGGCATTATGGCGGTGCTCCAGAATGTCATGGGGAGCGGCATCCAGCAGACAACGAAGAGGATGACCCATTTTCGCCAGGTGGGTATTTGGGCTACGTCGTCGTCTATTGCACCGGTTGGAGGAAGCGGTGATGCTGGGGATGTAGTGATGGCTGTTTTTGGTCCGGTCATGGTGAGTTGAACGAATGGAGGCGTAACTTAATCAAGGCAAGTGAATCAAACGAATGTCAAATTAATCCATTGAAACTGCAATACAAGTATTTACCAGAAAGAGTTTTCTTCACCTTCTTAATCAGGTATTTAAAACAAACCAATTCCTTGCATCTTGGCTCACTTATAGTGGACCACTATGACTTTTCCCAGCGGTGTCGGACGCCTTTTGTTTCTGTCCGTCTTATTCCCACTTACCTCTATCGGCGCCAACCGCCAAAACCACCGAGAAGCAGTATTTTCTGCCGAGGTTAGCGCTGAGTCAGCGCGGGAAAGGTAAAATTCTCGCCGATTTCTGTCGGCGTCATTGAACCGACTTTGCTTCAGTATTCTTGGGGAGTCACACGACTACGCAGATCGCGTCGGTACTTCGGTTATCCAATCAGGAAGATATCGGGTGGGTAATTGGTTAAGACTGTGTTACTCGGCCGTGAAGATCGCCTGTTTGTGCAAGGTCTGAGACAAAATGGCGGATCATCAGAGTGACTCGGATAAGGAGGATGTTGGGTCGTCGACTGTTACGCCGTTGAGCCCCGGGAAGCGACAACGCAAGACGAAATCTACAGCGTAAAGGTCCCTCTCTCATTTACGTTTGAGGTCTGACTAATTGCTTCAGATGTCGGCGATGCCATGCCAGAAAGGTTAAATGCTCCGGCGGTCAGCCCTGTGAAAACTGCCGTCAAGCAAGTAAAGGCGCTGAATGCTCTTATCCCCGAAAGAACCGTCTCGTCAAAGTGAGCCAGCAGTACGTCCCCCTTCTAACATCTCAATCCTCTCATGTTCATCAATTGGCACAGATACATTGACGATCTAATCGCCGAGAACCAGCGTCTTCGTCAAGATGACGCTAAACCTCGGCCTGAGCCCTCCATCCCCGACGTCTCAAGCACCGAGACGTCCTCGTCGCTCCAGGGCACACTCCTCGAGGAACGACCCTGGTTCTTTGACATGAACGTGCTTCACACCCCGGTCCTCATCGGCGAAGCTTCCGACGCTGCGTTTGCCACGCGTTTTAGGCAGGCTATTTCTGAACCGGGACATAGTCACATCCCGAGGGTTAACTACGCACCTGATGAGAGGTTGCTTGCGCTTTCGGATCAGGATTGTCCGTGGCCGATACCCTCTAGGGCTCGGTTGCTTGTTAATGTTGCGTTGAAGTATGTTAGTAGGACTTATTATATCGTGAGGAAGAGTCAGATCCTGGAGGGGCTGGAGCAGACGATTCTGAACCCTCATTCGGCGGATTCGTTGCTGAGGAGTAAACTTTGGGTTCTGTTTGCGATTGGGGAGATGTACTCTACGCGTACGGCGGCCAAGGATAGGAACTTTCCGGGTATGGCGTATTTTGCCCGGGCGACTCGTATTCTTCGCATCATCAGCGAAAGACCTCGCATTGATGCCATTGAAATTCGTCTTCTTCTGGTAAGTCTCTCACTTCTTCATGGGAACAAGCTGACATTCTAGTCTTTCTACTCCCTCGCCCTCAACCGTCGTTATACAGCCTATGCCCTCGCCGGCTCATCAGTCCGTCTCTCCGTCGTAATGGGTCTTCACCTCAACGTCCCCGAATCCCAACTCCGCGACGCCGGCGCCCGCGAACATAGGAATCGCGTATGGTGGACTGCATATAGCTTCGATCGCATGTGGGCTTCTCGTCTCGGTCATCCCGTCGCTATTCAGGACGACGACATCGAAGTCGATCTCCCCACCGATCCAGTCTTGGACACACCCTCAGATGACTTTGCCGACTCATCGTATTTTATCGCGGGTCTGAGACTCGCGAGACTGGCGGCAAAGGTAATTAATGCGATTTACACAAGGAGACCGCAGCAGAAAACACTCTCGCAGAGGGTTCAGGAGGCGTTGAGAGATCTGAGAGCTTTTGTGGAGGAATTGCCGCCGCATCTTCACATTGAACCGACGGATGCACCTGAACCAAGCCCAAAGCCTCTCTCACTGCACTTGTACTTTAACCAGGTCGCCATAACTGCGACGCGTCCTATTCTTCTACATGTTCTTAGGACTCACGTCTCAGCATGGGACACTCAACCTCGCACGGAGCCTCAAATCCCTGTATCAGCAATGACGCTCTCCGAAGCGTGCATCCGCTGCGCGCGCCACTCATGCCGCCTCCTAATCGACTGCTGGATCGACGGGTCCTTCGCAACGTTCGACTACTTCTACACGCAATATCTCTTCTCATCCGCCACGGTCCTCGCGATATCAAGCCTCATCGACGGAAAGGAATGTCGCAGCGATAAAGAACAATTCGAGTCAGCCGCGCAGTTTCTGCATCAGCTGAAAGAGAATGGCAATTTCGCGGCGGAGGAGTTTTGTCGACATGTTGATGCTATGAAAGTTTGTATGAGGGCGCTTGAGGCGAGACGGGGACAGTTTGTGGTGCAGGATACAGGGCTGTTGGGGTTGGATGTGTTGAATCCTACGGCGGGCATGGCGTTGTCGGAGCCGTCGCTGCAGGAGTTGTTATCGCAGCCGGTTTTGGATTTGCAGTTTATTGATGCGTCGATGTATCAAGATGGAGCGCAGGGGCTGTATTGGCCTGATATTAGTCCTGAGAGTTGGAGCGCTAGCGGATGGACTCCTGGTGGTTAAAACTTGGAGACGTAGTATATGATCTCCTGATCCTGAACAACCTTTGTCGTATTTACTCATCTCTTAGTTACGCTTCTTGAGAAATTGTATGTAGTAAAGGGTATGTCAATGCTCGTAAAAGGGGCTTAGTGCGGATATCTTTCTGTAGCTTCAGTCTATAATCCATCCATGAATTTGTGTAAACCAATTCCATTGTCTTGACAGTAACATGAGCCAAACCCTAACTAACCTACTAAAGCACTAAATTATGCATTTTATCCCTTCAAGAAGGATTTAGCCTTGTCTATTTGTATGAACAGTGTCAAGACTTGCCATCCATCCCTTTCACCAATCAAGTCCACAATGCTCTCAAACAACTCACAGAGAATGAATCATGAACAAACCCTCAGGCTTATGCATTCTGCCACTCCAAAGCCTTTGTTCTATTGGATTGACAGCTCGTTCAGCTTGTATCTGACAGTCTCTTTCAGCTGGCAGCTCCCCAGGCTGAACAAGACTGCCAGTAACAATGGAATAACGACTGTCGTTCTCGTTACCAGTGGCATTCATTGCTGCAACTGCGAAATACTATTCACATCCAATCTCCCAATAAATACTTCCCTTCGGTTGTTGATCCAGCTCTCTTCTTTCCTCCTCATCAACCTCTCAACATCTCGACCTTTGTCTTCATATCAACTCATAACACTTCACAAGAACTATCAACCTCACACTCATACCCCAAACCAACACCCACAATCATCCCTCTCACTGCCAACATCATGTCTTCTCTATCCACTGCCTACCCCACCGATGGTCAGGTTATCGACATTGGTGGTTCGTCCATCAACCTCACCTTTGTTGACGATCAGCTTCCCAAGGCCTTCCTTGGTAAGGGTGACTTCCCCAAGGAAGTCGCCTACACTTCCGGCATGGACAAATGGAACAAGATTGCCGACAAGTCCTACCAGACTTCTGATGAAATGGCCATCATCAAAGCCACCGCCAAGCAGGTCGTTCAGCAACTCAAGTCTGGTACTCATATCATTGACCTCGGCGCTGCCAACTCCAAGAAGTTTGAGCCCTACGTCCACGAATTCATCGCTCAGGGCAAGGAGTGCGTCTATGTGGCTCTCGATCTGTCTCACGCCTCTCTTGTTGAACACATTGCCAAGGCTAAGGCTACTTTCCCTGGTGTCAAGTGTATCGGTCTCTGGGGTTCATTTGAACAGGGAGACGTTTACTTCAAGCAGACTCGTCCTACTGCTCGTCTCTTCCTTTCTCTCGGCAGCATCTTCTATAATGCTCCAGACTCTATGGCTAAGGATCGTTGTGTCGAGTTCAAGGGCCACATGACTCCCGTTGATCGTCTCATTGTCGGCCAGGATGGACCTACCAGTGCTGAAGCCAGCCAGACCCATGCTGCGTACAACACTGTCGAGTACGACGCTTTCTTCACTACCTATCTTCAGGGTCTTCAGGATCACGCTGGCATTGTTGGTGCTAACCCCAAGACCGCTTGGACCGTCGAGAGCAAGCTCAACAAAGCTATGCATTACTTCGACGTCACTGCCAACCACGACATGACCTGCACTAAGTTCGATATCTACGTTCCCGCCGGAACGGTTTTCAAGATGTTCAAATCTTGGAAGCGATACGAGGGTGAGATTCACCAGCTCACCAACGAGGTTGGCCTGGAGATTGAGACTCTCGGCAAGGCTGAGAACTCCGGTATGCGTCAATATATCATCAAGGCTGCCGAGAACTAAGTCCACTGCACAAGTGTGATCTCACCCCATCTTCCCTATGTCTTTGGTCTTTTTGGAGTTTGGTAAAAGTTGTCTGAGCTTGGAATGCCAGACCGAGTGCGCGAGTAGACGGAAAAGTCCCCCACCCATGGTTGTTTTTGTTTTTGATGTTGTTTACCTCTTGACTTGATAGAGTCTTGGGAACTTTTTGTCTGAGCTCAGAATGCCGGACTACCAGAGACGGAGATCCTGGGAATTGCGATACAGAGGACGGAATAGACGAGATATCTAGATTTAGAGTCCATTGGTCTTCTGTCAACCTTTTGCATTTGTAGAGTGATGTTCATCTTATGTTGGTTAAGCACAAATTTTCTTTATGCTGACTTGATGGTTATGTCGTGATCCTGGCGTGCACAAATGAAGCTCAGATGGGAGACTATTCATTGTTTCTTTGTGGTCTAACTTGTCTTCTCCCTACTATCCTACACTATACTATTGATTCCTGCTTCTACCTTGAGACTTTTCATCCTTTCCAACTCTACAACAAGCGTTTCTTACAACTCTCCGTTCTCAAAGTCATCGTCATCCTCCTCCTCAATATACTCGTCCAATCTCTCCTTGAGCTCCTCAACACTAATCTCACCTTCCATCTCAGAAGGATGCTCACCCTTTCTATGAGGCGGAATGGGAATAGTCTTGGGAACCTGGATAACACCATTCTTACCAACAGCGTCATTAAACCCAATAACATTATGCCCATTCAGCACAATAGTAGTCCAGCTCTTGAAAGTATGAACATCAACACCAACACTTCTCTCAAGAAGAGTCGGGAGCTCAATATGGAAGTCATCACCATGGCCATAAAGCTTCTTCGACACCTTTTCATCACCGTAGTAGACCTCGTCACTGTAGAGAGTAATGTTGGGGACGATCTGGTACTTGAGAAGGGCCTTGAGATATTTCTTGCCTGTCTCGGTGTTGAAGAGGAAGGCGTTTGCGCGGGGACCCAGACGGCGCCATGCATCGTTGGAGGGAGCGAAGACGGTGCTGCCGACCATGGGGATGTTGTGGATGTACTTGACGAAGTCGGTCTTCTCGAAGGCGAGCAGAAGAGTTGAGAATTGAGCGGGGAAAAGGCTGATTTCTTTGCCGATGAAGGGAGGAGGAACGAGGATTCTGTTGACAGCGTGGATGATGCCATTCTTGGTTTTCTGTGATAGTCAGCCAAGATCAGTTTATTTAGTGGATATACTTACGAAGTTGACAGCGATGACCTTGCTGTACAGATTAACTCTCACTCCGGAAAACCCAACGCTGGTACGAAGACGCTGAGGCTTATCACCAAGCAGAGGCTCCTTCAGGGTCGTAGGAATAGTATGCGTGAAGAGGATTCGCGACGCAGGATACTCCCCAATACCAAGATGGTAGTTAAGAACAGCCTCGACGAACTCATCACTAGGCTTATCCTTATGATGATGAGGAATATGCTCAAATGCCTCATCGGTCGGGACAAAGAGCGTGTAGTTCGCGTCAGTGCTGTTAAGCAACTTGCCAAACTTCTCATGCTTCTGAACAAGCTTGAAGAACTTCTTGGTGTAGTTGCTCTTGGCGATAAGTTCATATGTCGTATGATCAGTAAAGTCACCGCCTGTTCGACCAAAGATATCCGCAGACTCGTCGTCGTCTACATCATCAGCGGGGAGGAAAGCCTCTTCATCTTGGAGTCTGTTGTGGATTGCGGCTGTGAACTCGGTGGAGAGCTGCTCAGTCGCTTCGTCGAGAGTCTTGCGAAAGCGCGTTGGGATGTCTTCGAGGGTTTGCTTCAGATCATCCTTCCAGGTGTTGAACGCGTCCAAGCCCTCGGGGATGACGAAAGCCGAAGTGGCCGTAGCCAAAGTAAGAGCCAAAAGAGACCTCATGATGAATCGATATCAATGAAAACAGAGATAACAATATCAAGCCACTCCAACGTCCTTATCAAGATGAAAAACGGTCAATGATGCTCAGACTTTATATCCATCTCACGTCTATGACGGGACTAATGTTGGCGTCATCAGCCATTTTACCCCGCATGGGATGTAAGAAAAGATGACGTGAGATTTCAGGCTAAATATGTCTCATCCTTTTTGTCACCATCTACGCTCGGCTTCTTCGGTGTTCATGGTCTGACGTGAGGCAAGGGTGTTGCGAAACGCAAATAATTGGGCTCATCGTAAACGCAGCCATTTCATTGGTGAGATGACGCGTTGAGGATGTCGCCTTTTGGCGGATTGATGATGTGTACGCGTACAACGTCTCGGCGGTTTAGCACGTATTACCCGAGCACGTTTCATCTTATATGCGGATACTTTGTGAGCCTGAATTACATAAGAACATTGTCAATTGTTGACTGCATTTAACTACCAGCGACATTCTCCTGGTCAGCCTTTCCAGCCTCATCAACAGGATCCAAGTTTCCCTTCGAAGGCCCCATTACACAAATACCCTCTCGTGAGAACCGACTCCCGTGAACAGGACAGTCAAAGCTCTTCTCAGTAGTGTTCCAGCACACGACGCCCTTCATATGGGGACACAAAGCGCTGTACTGCTTCACGTTACCCTCCTCGTCTTTGTACACCGCGATTGGCTTTGATCCAGCCTGAAACACATTAGTTTGTGCATGGACGATAATAACAAAGGACGTTACCTTGTTCAATACCCCGCCCATTCCGCGGCCGAGGTCTTCAATGTCTGTGATGTCGGATTGTAGGAAGCGCTTGTACTGCGCGTTGATCTGGACGTCGTGGGCGATCATGCTGGGGAGGGACTTGACCATTGATGCGATGCGCGTGGGGGAGTAGATGTCTGCCCATGGGTTCTTGATGCCGTCGATTTCATCCGCGATCAATCGTCCAGCCAAAACCCCATGCGTCAAACCATCACCTGAATCGCCAGTGATGATGTAAATGTGATCGTTGCCTTGGCTCTTCCCGATGAACTGCATGAAATCAACAGGTTCAAAGATCTGACCACTCCAGCGGTAGTCAACAGACTTGACCTGTGAAAACCTCTCACGCGTCCACTTCTCAAGCTCACCAAACTCAGTAGTCGTATCTTCCTGTCCAACCTTGTGATCACAGCCTCCCACAACAAGATAATCATGCTCGTCATCACAAGCCGTCAGTCGAACATACTTATACTCCTCTGCCTGATCATATAAGAGACAATCCTCAATAGCGCCTTTAGGTATACGCGCAGCGATACAGTAAGACCGCATGAACTCCATCTGAGCGATGACGCTGAGCTTCTGGAGGGGAACGCAGGTTGCTTCGACGGCGTTGGCGCACTTGACGGTGTAGCCATCTGCTGTTGAGACGTTGACGGATTTGTTGCCGATACCGAGAATCTCTATGCCTTTTTCTTCAACGGACATGACCCGCGTTTGGTCGAAGCAGCGGAAGTTGGGCTGAGTCTTGAGCCAGTTGAGGATGCCGTTGAGATACTTTGTTGGATGGAATGTTGCTTGGTCTTTGACGATGAGGCCGCCGCGCTGGTCAATTGCTCCATCCCAGCCACGAACCGTCAGCGATTCCTACACCAAGTTAATCGAAGACCAAGAATGAAATAGATCAGAGACTTGCATCAAATCTAGCATCAATGCCGAACTTTCGCTGCGCTGCCTCTTCCTTACGAAGATCGTTCATCTCATCCTCATGCTCCTTCGCATCCTTCCTAGAGTACTGAGAAACCTCATAAGCCGGAAGTTTGCGATATTCGCATTCAATACCAAGTATCTGAGAGATCTCTCCTACGCGATCTCTTCCCCACGCGTGGCTTTCAGCTGCGACCCTGGCGCCTTCATCACCGTGCTTCTTAGCAATCTCAGTATACCCATCGTCAAGATCATTGGTCAAATGGCCACTGGTCCGACCTGTCTCTCCAGAAAGTACCTGGCGAGCTTCCAGAAGGACAACCTCGCGCCCTCGGGTGACAAGCTCATAGGCTGTGGAAATACCGCCGATGCCAGCACCAATGATGCAGACGTCAGTCTCAATGTCTTGGTTAAGCTTGGAGAACGATGGGCGGTTAGAAACGGGGTCTTGATGAACCCAGACCGAGTCCGTAGCGCCCGAGGTATGAAAGAACTGTTGCGACTTAGAGGTTGCCATTGTAGATTGATAAGCTCTGAAGGATAGCTGGACTGTGCAGCGGCGTGAGATGCGAGAGACTCGGAGTGATGCTGAGGCCAGTGAGAAGAGCATCCTAGGAGGTATGAGTGAAGTCGAGTCTGCGAGAGGGTTGGAGTGAGCTCAAGAGGTGTATATCATTGCAATGCATGAATTGAGATAGATGATGCACCGTACAACACAAGACACGGACGAATTGAATGGAGCTGATTGCCAATCGAGATCAATCCAGCTGCAAGTTCGGCCAGGGACATGCATCTCGCTCCAATAATTGTCGTGGCTTGTATTACACCGCCTCAGCTTTCACATCATGAAGTCGTCACTATTTCCATTACATTTCCCGTGCATGCAATTCGGTAGCAATTTGCGGAGCATTTGGTCCTGCTGCGCATCATCAAGACTGAAATGTGAACATTGTGACGTTGAAATGTCTTGGTCGTCATGTCAACGTCAGAATGATGACTCCGACAACACCGCAAGCAAGCCAGAGCTCATAATCTCCAGCTTTATACTATAAAGCCCATTTAAAGCAAATAATAGTTCTTGTTTAAGTGAATAATATTGGCTGGCGGGATGTTGCCTTCTTATAGTTGCTGTCATGGTTATGGTATTACAACTTGATCATGACAATGTAGAGAAATGCTAATCAATGGGTCACGGTGATGGCTGACGACTAACATTCATCAGCTTTTCATGCTTTCTTCTCTCCACCCATATTGTTCTGAACCGCCCCCCCAATGCTTCCCTCTGTAGTGAATTGCTTCCCGATCACGCCCTCCTTATCAAAGGGACCACCGATCTTTTGAGCGGTACCTCCAATAGCTCCATTCTCTGAGATAAACATTAGATTTGATC